TTCTTGCTTATAGACTTAGTGATCTGATGTATCTTAGATTTCTGTGTTGGCAAAAAAATGGATATCATTAAATTATACATGGGAGATGACTCTGTTGAAGGTTTGCTCTGCCAATCTCAATTTTTCTATGTTGCGAAGAGACTATGTCGTGGTTAGTATCCAATACATGCTATGTAAGAACAAAGCTTATTTCCATTTTTGACCTACGATCTGACTCTAGAGTTCCACAAATAAGTCTTGTGCTATAACCCAATCTGCCAACTTCCTGCTGCAGCTTCCAGACCTTGAGAAAATGGGATCAACTCTTTTTCTGAATACCCATTGGGCAAGATATGCAGCCTGGTTGTTCGTTTTTATGCATGCATTTGAACTAGTAGAACTAGCCCTGGCAATTGGAGACCTGACTCATCTTGCCCACTCTGCCCTGACTCATTCTGTGCATTAGAAAAGTCACTTAACTAATTTGTGCCTTAGTTTCTTCAGTTGTAAAATGATGAGACTACTTGCCCAGTTTGTAATGCACTTCAAGGACATGGTTTCAAGTAAATATATCAATGTTTGTTAGGCGCAATTTTACTGTACTATTATTCTGTCTTGTTTGCACATTAGAACGGCAGCCTTGGGTATAGCAAAATAGGTACACAAAAGTGGAGGCCGTGTAGTAATTTTTCCCATTATCTGTCTTAAATAAACCTTTTCATATGCCTTAAAAATGTGGCTAGATTGAATCTGATTTGACTACAGTTAAACCAAACTAGTTATTCTTTTCTAAAATTTGTTTTTGTGCCCATTGTGGCTCCCTTGATTGCTGCCTGAATATGCTTCATGGAGGGTATACTATTAGAATATATGCATATAAAACCATACAGTTTATACATACTATGCAGTCTTTCAGTTTACTGTTAGTCACAGGGCTGATTAGGATGAGAAACTGCCAGGACCTGAAAAACTGAGGCAAGGCTGCAAAACCTTGAAGTCTGACTTTTCTCCTAGTCCTATGATATAAATATACCACTGATGCTACATTTTTCAGGTTATCGGTAATCTCTCTGTAAAATGATATGACTTTATGGCTAAATTGCTGTGTGGGAAGGTACATGCAAGGAAAAGCAAATTCTAAGAGAAGGGAAAAGTGGTTAGCAGAGTCATGAAAGCAAAACTTTGGAAAAGAAAACTCAGTGAAACAGAGGCGGGTAAAGGTATTTGCTCTGCTCCTATATTTACGAGCCTTACCTTTATGCTCCATTTTACCCTGAAGCTTCAGTGTTGTTTTTTTTTTTCATTTTGGATATTCATTCAAATTTGGAGAATTTTTCATAGTGGCAAATATTATGCAGGACCACAACTATGGACCTTCCCACCTAAAGGCATGTGAGAGGACAAGAGCTATTCAGTAGGCCTGTGTTGAAGCAGCTAGTATTCACTTTGGATTTGGGGGACAGTGATTCATTTTGGTGACTCGAATCACTGTCCTGAATTGACATGGCTGCTGCTGCCAAATCTCCGAATCATGCAGGCCCCATCCCCTGGCCCCTCTTCCAGCCCCTGCAGGCCCTAGCTCCTGGCTCTTTAAAAAAAGCAGGAAAAAAAAAAAGCCCTCTCTCACTGGCTGCTGCCCAGCAGGGGGTGATCTGTGCTGCTCCCCACTGGCCCATGCCATGTGGGGGGCTCTGTCATGAGCCCCCCAACCCCTGCCCTCTCTCCCAGACCCCCCATGGCTGCCCCCCCACCCCAGGTACCGGCCCTTCAAGATAAAGCAAAAAACCTTGGACACATTGTCTTCTGCCAGGCGGGGGGCAGGGGGCAATCCCTGCTGCCCCCCACTGTGCTGTGCTGCAGAGCGGGGGGCTTTGCCACAAGCCCCCAGAAGCCCCAAGGCCACTGCAGCAGCCAGTGAGACTGGGGTTTTCTTT